CAGAAGGATGGGTCTTTGGTAGGGCACACCATACCTCTGTTCAACACACAGACATGGACTATGCCTGCAGCTATGCCTTTATTCATCAGTCTTAGCAAGGGGGTTTCTCAAATGGGGCATCTACTTGATGGAGAGTGGTTTGTCTTACGCCATGTTTAATGGGTGCCTGCGAGCAGGTCACTCCACTTTTTTACGACTGGTGCCTGTGAGTGCGGGCACTCAGAGAGACCAGAAGGAAATTCTGTATTGCCTGGAGCTGGAGGTACAGAGAGCTAGGAGCTGTATAATGTGGGTGCTGGGAACCGAACTTGGGTCCTCTGCAAGAGCAACATGTATTCAAAATTTACCCACCGAGCCATCATCTCTCCACCTTTTTGTTCTTCAGCACATGAGCGCTAGCTGACTAGGTATCACCACAGCATGCTGTCCCCACCTTCCTTTGCAAGGGAAGACATCCCCGTGATCTAAAGAGGCCAGTGCCCACTGTCCTTGATGTGAATTGTGAACAAATGGAGAATGTTCACAGTGTCAATTTCCAGGTCTCCCTGGCCTAAGGGACCATGTGAGGCAATGTTATACTCAGCCTCAGGCTTCCATGTTAATTTTTTTGAGCAGTGCATTTTGTAAAATGTTTCAGTGTGTCTCTTTTAGAAGCAACTGGCATGCGGTTTAGGTATTTTACCTGATGGTGGGAAACACGTGTTTCAGATGTCTGCTCAAATCTACTGTAGCATAAAGGTGAGCTTCATGCTCACACTTCCTCCCTTTTTAAGGGAAAAGATGGATGTGACAAATTTGATGGTCACGCAGGGCTCTGCATATTTACTGTTGGGGTGTTGTCTATGTTGTCAATATCCAGAGCCCCCTGGGCTCCCAGCTGTAGGAAAAAATGACTTAGCTGTGCTGGGAGGTCCAGGTCTGTCCATGACTATCAACAGACCTTTCTGTTTGTCTGGGCGTGCCAAGTTGCCCACCATGGCCAGCTTTCCTTATCTCTCCATGAAGCCAATTGTGGGACCAATCTCACTTTAGCTCCTATGGTGGTGTTAATGAGAATGGCCCCCATAAGTTCATATGTTTGAACAGGTGGAACTATTTGGGAAGGATTAGAAGGTGTGGCCTCACTGGAGGAAGGTGTGTCACTGGGGGTGGGCTTTGAGGTTCCAAAAAGCCCACACCATTCCCAGCTAGCTCTTGCTGCCGCTCTCTGCCTCATGCTTGTGTCTCAAGATGAGAGCTGTCAGCTACTGCTCCAGCACCAGCCTGCCCCCTCCCCCCCTCCCGCTGCCATGCTTCCCACCATAATGGTCATGGACTCACCCTCTGAAATTGTCAGCCCCATAGCCTCTTTCTTCTATAAGCTGGCTTGGGCATGGTGTCTTGTCACAGCAGTAGTTAGGACAGCTGCATTAACACACTTAGTAGTTACGCACGTTTCCTTCTGCCAATTTGTCCCTCTACTGACAAGTGACTTTTCCGTGGAGTCTTTAGGTTGAATTTTAGTGACTGAATCAGAACTCCGCAGACCAGATTCTGCTTGAGAGGCCTATGGGACACAGTGATGACCCACTGTGGGTTTCCTCTGCCTGTCTCTAGATAGGTTCCAAACCCAAAGAAATAGACCATTGCAGACAAGAGTAGGATTCCGGGCCACTTCTGAGTCTGGCCAACCCTTGGGTACAAGGGTTACCTGCAGTGAGAGGTGGGCTATATTCAGGTACTCTGTTGACTGTGACAGAGTGGGTAGGCTCTGCACACAAAGCAGTGCTCTTTGCTCCCAACCCCTCTTCCCTTTACCACACCCCTTTATCCACACATCAGAAGTTCTTCTCTACGTCATAAAGCTGCCAGCTGCCAGAGCATCCCTCTGCTCTCTCAACTGGTGAGTTCACCACACTAACATGGAAGGATACTGTCACGCAGGACCTGTGTTGTTGTTTTTCCTAAGTTTCCTGGCTCCTAGGCACTTTCTCAGAAACAACTGCTACAGAGCCAAACACTGGAGGTGAGCTCCACTTGCTTGACATCCAGACCTTTTCTACTTGGGCTAGAAAATGGTCTGGCTGGAGAATCACACCACTAACAGGCCCTGGCCCCTGCTCCACAGGGTTCTGAGAAGCTGAAGATGCCATTCCTGCTGAAAGGCATTCACTTTTAGCATCCCTGGGCCAGCATTTAATTGTGAAAAAGCTTTAACCCCTGGTGTTACAGGATGTCCAAGGGTCTACCTGGCTTTAAGGGTAAGCAGCCATGATGGGCAAGGGACCCACCTGTGTTTCCTCTCCAACCCCATGCCTGTTCTTTTAATAATCCATTTTCACACAGTCTGGGCTCATCCACCATTGCCCCTCCCATATGATCTCTGAGTGGAGGTCCTGGAGCAGACAGCTCAACACATGGTCTGTGGAACTTATCACAGCCTCAATTTTCTGAGTGTAACACAATACCTACCCGGCAGGGGCACCGTGAGGCTCAAATGAGACAATGTCGTCCAGGGGCCAGAAAAGCACGTGTGCCAAAGAAAGGAGCTGCAGGGATGTCACTGGGCTTCAGGCACAGCCTAGTCTGTCTTACAATGTGTGTCCCCAGGAGGGTCCCACAACTTCTGAGCCATACTCAGGTTCCTACCAAAAACTGGATTTATTCATTGGTCCCCCTTCCAATTAATAACCTAATTTTTGTGTCTGGTGCCAACTTTGTTTTGGTTATTTTCTGGGAATCCTGAATAAACCTGTGAAGAGGGGCATTTTAAGAAACACTCCATTTCAAGATGGATACCTTTCAAATTATCTGACAAAAGATTGAGTCTTTAGCATACACATTTTCATGAAGGGCCAGTTTACAGCCAGTGGTCATGCAATAATATCATACATTAAAAGCCTGGCATCAGAAAAATATTTTGATAATTTATGGAATGATATGAATTCTGTAACAAATCATTGAAAGTTGTATGGAATGAGTTGTATGTATACACACATTAGTGAGGAAGACCATGTTGCTCAACTGAAATAAATGTAGCCATACATTGAACAGCTTACTGTGGCTAGAAATATGGGAGAAACCGAAGTGTGTTCACTGCTGCACCCAAACCCTTATGGCTACCGTGTCTCAATCCCCAAGGCTGCCTGCACCCCAACCTCCACGGCTACCTCACTCATGTGCAGGGACCCCAAGCTACTGAGGCCTCAGAGAGGAGTGGACTTCATCGGGTCATATTATGCCCTCTATCACCCCTAAGTGGCCTCCTGTTCTGAAGCTCTGACTGCCTTGGATGTCAAGTCCCGTTACCTAAGCAGAGAAGACTGAGAAGCCAGCCTTCCCGGGACTCCTTAAACATATAGTGTCACGCCAGCCCACCAATGTCTCCTGGGAGCCCCTCTAGCAGGTGGTGGGTAGGAAGGTTTTAGCCTCGAGGCTAATAAGAGAACTGTATGCCTTCTCATTGCTCTCCAATTTTGTATTCAATAACATTTAAAACCAATGTCACAGTTTTCTTTAGTTTTTAAGGCAAGAAGTCATCAATAAACCTATAAACTACACCATATAAAAGAAAGACACCCTTGGTAGAGACACAGGGCAGAGAGAGGATATGTACCCCAAAGAGAAAAAAGAAAAAAAACCCAACATCTAAAAAACAGTGAGGGAGCACTCAACAGAAAATCTTAGCTGATGAGATGATTCCTTGAGTACCCGCTCTGCCCTCTCTCATTTCCCTTTTCTGAATGCTTTGAAGGGAGATGTGGCCAGGCCAGGATACACCAGGATCTGGACCAGTAGCCTCCTCTCAAAGAGCACAAACAACACTGTGATTACAGAGTGGCTCTTTAACAAGCTGATGTGCCCGTGTGGCTTTGGTTTCTGCAGTCATTCCTGCTTGAGAGAGGGCTTTTGGTGGTGAAGCAGGAGTAATTGTGAAGGGATGAGAGAGAGGACGGGGATATAAATCAGGAAAGGTTAATGACTGGGATGTGAAGAAGGGACTTGTTTACAGAAATAGTGTGCAATTTAAAATTTACAGGAGATTTAATGCCACTACTTGGCAATCGCTAAAATCAACAGCCCAGAAAACAGTGACATTAAGAAAAATATTACAGTTATAATCATCCCCAAATAAGTCAATTAGTGTTAGGGCGCGAGCTCGCCATTACTTGACCCATTGGGCTTGCACTTAAGTGAAAAAGAAATCCCCCCTATTATACCAAGCTCGCTGGGTTGTGACCTGCTTTGCATCATGTATTACCCGCCAGCCTCCTTTCGTATACCTGGGTGGATGGCGCTGGTTTTCCCTTGCCTGGCATCAAAATAATTCTGACCCTTGACATTTGTAATCATAAAAAAAAGGCAATTTATAATTGTGTTGTTCAAATGAAAGCGTGGGGGGGAATTCAATCTGCTATTATACAAAAGCAATGACGGCTGTCTTCGGTGAAAAAAGCAACCCAAGTCAATTTGTGAACTTTGGCACCAGACGACCTTTAGAAACAAAACAATATACGGAATTTACAAGCAATAGCAGCCCATGCAAATGGCCCGGGCCTGCCTGCCTCTGGATTAGAGCTGCAGAGAGCATTATGGAGAATGCTTCCACAAAACAAATTAAGACTGTTACTTAAATGTCACGGCACACTATTGTATTTGGCTACAGATCATTACACCTGATACTAACACTTTTAAAAACTGTAATAACTTGGGAAATATTACATTGAGTGCCCACATGTATAAAGGAATAGGGGGGAAAAGAGGAGAAAATAGGTTTCCAAAGTAATTTAAACATCACTACCCTACGACGGAAGGGAAAGGTCAAAATTTAAGTAAGCTGAAAGGAACATGAATGGTAAAATAGAACATACAAACAAAAGGATGGAAAGACCACAGGGCCGAGCGCAAACACAACACAGGGGCATGCAGCTGCGGGCGGGCGGGTGCATTTCCATGTCTGCATGGGGAGAAAGGCAGGGAGGCAGGGAGGCAGGAGCCGGGTGCAGGCGGGGTGCAGTTACCTTCAGTGTTGGTGCTGCTGCTGCTGTATATGTTTCGCAGGCTACCAACACGGTTTAGTTTCCATGCTTTGCGTTTGGCTGCATCCCGAGAGCAGAGAGGGCAGGGGGGAAAAGAGACAACAAAAAGGAAAAGAAAACAAATGAAAAAGGGAGAAAAGAAATGTCAAAGTAGCGTGTGAAGTCACCTCTGAGTGCGCAGCAGGTGCGTAGCACCAAGGGGCTCCTCCGCTGGCCCTCTGCTCCCCCCAGGACAGCACAGAGGTGAGAAGGATAGAGGTGAGCCAGCATCGTTAGTGGAGTGCTCCCAAAGTCAAAGACATTCCCAAGCAAACGTGCGACACCCTTGGCTGAGGCCAAGGCTACTTGCTGGCAAATGCTGGCCTTTGCACTGTTGTGGGCTATGGTCCAGAAGCTAGTCCAAGTGACCCTGGTGGTAAGCAGGTTAGGCCTGTATGTTTCAGAGGCAGGCCTTTAAAAACCAGAGCATTTTTGTCAACTCTTCCTCAACCCCATTTGTGAGATGTACACTGGTCTACAGAATCAGAACCCTAGGACCAGGTGGGCTCCCCCACAATAGATGCCTCCTCCAACAAGTTAGAAAGGACAGACACCAAGTCGCTGCTGGTGGAATGCTGCAGTAAGGAGTAAAATTCTGAGCCAAGTGGACACAGCGCAGCTGTATACGCTGTCCCGTAGGCATGTGGTGAGACACTCCAGGGACACGGAGTTGACAAGATGGCTCCTGGGAGCCCGAGACACAGCCATGTCTGTCTTAGCTAGGCCTGCCACTATAGGCAGATAGCAAAATATTCAGCAGGGGTTGAAAGTTGCCATGTTCCTGAAGAAGGGCACCATGGGCCATCTGTTTCTCAACTCCACAGTCAGGAAGAGAACCTGCTGGAAGGTTCCATTAGGTGATGTGGCACAGGTGAAAGGCCAGGCTGATGGTCTGACTCCGAAGGCATGTGCTGGATAATGGTCAGCTCTGATGCTGAGGCATCCGGGACTCAGGATACGTTAACCATTCCCATCTGCTCTGGAGTTCACTCAGCTGTAGACAGTGTGGGGTCAGGCCCCGGGTAGGCTGTGTGAACACTGGATCTCTGATGGGCAGAGAGTGACCTCGGGAGATACCTAGGCGAGTTCAGTTGCTGGTCACTCTAGTTGCCCTTCTATGTAAAGATCACCAAAATACACGTGTAGAATCTGAGTTGTCAAGGAAGCTAAGCCAGTTCTGAAATATAGCCTTACATATTTAGAATGCAAAGCTTAGTCACGTGGACAAACATCTGAGTTCCCTGTCTACTGATTTCAAATGATTTTAGCTCTACAATGAAACACCTGGGGCTCACTTTGTAGTGTTACCAACAAGTAATTTGGTAAGAAATGTAATCCCTAACCAGTAAATACCGGAGTCTTCTGCCTATTGTATATGGATAGCAATTTAACTCTTCACAGTGTGTGTGTGTGTGTGTGTGTGTGTGTGTGGTGGGGGGGAAGGTGAAGAGGTTTTGCTCATCTCTGTATCTTTAAGGTCTTATGTTGTTCATCCCAGGAAACAATGCACTTGGAAGGGTTGTTCAGATACTAGCCAGTACTGGTGTCAGCTATGAGCAGTGAAGGAAATCCAACCGTTCACAGTTTTCAAGAACGGTCAAAGGATTGGTGCCCCACTCCCAGCACACACAAGTTACACTGTGCTCTTACAACTGGACATGTGCTTCATTTTTTACTAGTGGATGCTCCCAGAGTCTTGGGGCATATTTCACAAGTTCCGGAAAGAAATGGTTACTACAAAGCTTCCTGGGGAAGTCGACCTCCTTCTCGAACATTTACATATAAATAGGCAGACTCCAGGCTGAGCTAGCAGAAGGGGTAAAGCTCAGCCTGGAAACCTCTTCCTGGTTGCTTTGCACTCTGCATTTTTCATGCTCTGTTCTCCCATTACGGTTGGGATGTATAACCAGGAAGTGAACTTACAGCCCGGATTTCTATTAACCTATTGATGAAATAATCAATTTCAACGTATAAAGTGTCATGGCTTTTTCTTCCTTGTAAACAAATGGCTGTTTTCTGGCTGATACCAAGGTCCCGATTTGAGCATTTGTCTCTTGGGGCATTGATTACTTAAGTCGCCCTGTTTAGGCACTTTTCAACAAGAACTACAATCAGGACCCTGGGTAACGTTTCAGGGGAAACAGCCACATGGTACCAAATGGAGACCCCAGTACTCCAGCCCAATGTGGTGGGCTGACCATTACCTACTATACCATCCCCTGGTCTCAGACCTGGCAAGGGGCATAATAGGCCACCATGCTCAAGAGATGATGTTTTCTGTGCAACCCTTATCTATTCTTCCTGAGAGGGTCATACCATACCCAGGCAGGTCTCAAACCCCTCCCACCTCAGTGTCAGGCCACAGACGTGCAACATTATACCCCACTTGGGCAGTATCTAAAATTTGAGGGTCATGTGGGAAGTCCCACATGCTGCAAATATGTGTTGCTTTTATTGGTTGATGCATAAAGCTGTTTATTTGGGTGTTCATGGACTTTGTTTAACCCACCCACATTAGAGTTTTCAAAAACTTTATTTTTTTTTGAAACACAGGCTAACATTTAGATTTTTTTGCTACTAATGTCACGTGTCATAATTTCATGTACACTTAGACAAAAGGCTTCGTGGGGAAAGCATGTGGTGGTTCTTTCCACCCTATGTCTCTGCTTATGGGATAAGCCCAGGTTTTCATTTGGATTAGAGCAGGTACCCAATGAGGCTGCAGCATGGTCTCCCATGTCAGACATCTGCATGGCCATGACATCCCAGAAGATACGATGTCCCGGGTGTGATCTCTCCCTTCCCATTTCACTTTACAAATGAACCTAAGTGTAACACACAGCTGTGAGTACAAAGGACCACGGTCACCCTCATAGCAACAACCAACATGCACAGTGGCCTCAGTTACACAGGGCCTTGCTATGGGACAGCAAAAGCAAGGGGTCAAAGAAGCAAACAAGGTTGACGGCTAAGCACAGTATCTAGGGGGAGGGTTAAACGGATCATCACTGCATTGGACAGTCAATACCTTTCTTATTGCTGTGGCGAAATATCTGGAGTACAATGTAATGAAGGGGTTCTTTTGGCTTACAGTTGGAGGGCACAGTTCATCACGACGGGGAAGACATCGGGGCAGGCACTTGAGGCAGCTGGCCATGTCATATTCAGTCAGGAAGCAGAGAGGATGGATGCTGGTGCTGCACTCCCTTCCTCCTCTTTACCCAGCGCTGGACCAACCGCAGTCCATGACTGGTGCTACCCACAGCCAGGGAGTGTCCTCCTTCCTCAGCTAAGCATGTCCTGAAACCACTACAGATGCCCCCAGCTGTCTGTCTCCAGGGCGATTCTATATCACATCAAGTTGATGATCAAGATCACCCGAGACAAGGTCCACTGGCTGCAAAGGTTTTCTTCTGAGAATTAAAAGAACTGAAAATTTCAAAAACTCAGGCTAAAAGTGTAGAGACACAGTTGGCGACCATGTGATCCAACAATGATACCATTGATTTTTCTTTTAAATATACACTGCTTATGAACACTAAGCTAGATTGCTAGGGTGATTCTTGGGGACTAGGAGATGCCCCACTGGGAATCTGGGGAAGTCAAAACATCAGAAAGGGTGAGAGTACTGACACCCACGCTCAGCTGTTGAGTCATTTCTATACAGTAGTGGCCACCAGGTTGGCAATGGGGTGGATGTCACGCGGCACATTCAGATCTATAGAGCCACATGTCTGAGTCAGGCTGCTAGCATGAATGACAGGCATAAGCCCCCCCCCCATCACAGTGCGTTTGTAAAGTGCCTGCGAATGGAGAGCTCGGGGTCCACATGAGCAAATGAGGTATGGCATATTACTCTTGACTCTTGGTAATCACTAACAGACAGCTTCGGTCTTTTCAAAGACAGAGACGAGAAAAATGTGTAAATGATGGCTTTCTATGAAGTTAGAGTGACTGGAATCACTTAGCATCCACAATTCTCGGTTGTTACACACCACTGTATTCTTGGAAGCTAGTTTTCATATGGACTTTTATGACCCCGAGGGACTCAGAACTTCATTTGAAAGTTTCTATTATTCTGTTTTTCTGAGTAAAACAATCACTTCATTTTATCATAGCATGAAAAAGAAACAGAAAGCAGATTTCTGGTACTGAGACTTCTAACCAGCTCTTTATAAATAGAATAAAAATACTCCTTAGTCTGCTGGCATACTCAAGTCACCAAGGTTTTACCTGAAACTTCCTCCATCTCTGCACCAGGAAAACAGACTTATTAATACCAACTCTGCTCTGCTTCCGACAGTTGTCTTTGTTGATTAGATAACTATTCCCCAGACAGCTGACTAAAACATGACATAGCCACGAAGAGGTTGTGTCCAGGCTTGTAGGCCATGCTGGATGTTCCGGTGTACATGAATTACATCCTGGGCACATGCAGAATGGTCGATGGGATGAGGCTCTGCAGCCCTCAGAGTCAATTATGAGAACTAGCGGGGTCTTTGTACTTACAGGGAGGAGGGGGTTGGGACACTCACTTCTAACAATGTCTCATCTCAGAAGGAAATGAATAGCCCTCTTGCTTATACAAGGGAGTGTAAACTTATGTCTTTAAGAGAACTCCCGCCATCACCTTGTCAGACAGAGTAATTTCTTGTCTACATTGGACATGTATAAATCTAAAGATGGTATCGGTATAAATCCCATCAGTGCAGAGGACAGCACCTTTGCTCCTTAGTCTGTGGGCTGATTGTGTCACCAGGGCCTTTATGTGACGATCATCTATCTCCCAGGGGCCTCTGCAGGCAGCAAGTAGATGACACTGTGGTTTTCTGTCACTTCCAGTGTCGTCTGACCCATATCCCATGATTTTTTTTTTGTCTGTGTCAATTGTGTCTGGACATTAGGGGTGAATCAAAATAAATTAGGAATATCTTTTGTCAGACTGGGTGATTGATCATTCACTTGCTCAGTCAGATTGTGTAAATATTTACTTCTTTTATAAACAAGACAGTGACTCCCCT